ACCCATGTTATATAAGTTGTATATCAAGGCCCCCATTAGGGTATATTACGTATCCTAACCGTTTCGGTGGTGTCGGGTTTCAGAGGATTCCGGCCCGAGGCATGCACTGGTTAGGGCTTGGCTTGACGGGGTTACATGGTTTACGGAGTAGGGCTTAGGTTCCAAGGTTTGGAGGTTTCAGGGTTTAGGGTTCGATTCTGGATAGCTTGGACTATCGGATGTCCCACAAACCTTAGCACGTCGCGATCAGGAAGACTCCCATGCAGTGGCGCTGTTGCCCTGCGGCCACGTCTTCCACGAGGCCTCAAGCAGCCCTGCACTGCCTAGAGTGTTTCATTTTCGGGCGTAAGTCTCGCCTGCTCTAAGGTCTTTTGGGGCAAAAAACGGGGTCCTCGTTCACGGGTCTTGATAAAATGGATGTAGCCACTTGGGGGTTTGCGAAAATAAGGGACCCTAATATAGTACTTTAAATAGTAGGATCCTTAATATAGGGACCCCAAAATATGGTATCCCTTGTTTTCAGAAACTCCCACTTTGGGATCTCCATTCGGAGCCGCCTTTTCGGGCCTTCAGAGTTCAACCAAAAACTGCTGGGAATGAGATCTCGCCTGTTGGTTGGGGTCCTGGCTTGAAGCTCCTTCCGGAGTCATCGAGCTAGTGTCTTTGCCGCAGATTTCATGAGCCTTGCAGATAAAATCCTAAACTCCAACAGTGGATCTTTCGGCCGCCTCTGGGTTTTGCTCGTTGCGACTGATGGGAAGATGTAGACGCTTGCGACTCACGATACCTTTTTAACTCGATCTTGCAAGCCCACGCCAGGAAGCGCTATGATGCAAGCAGTTTGGGGTTTAGGTTTCAAACAAACCCATAACTACGCTAAGCGCTATAAGCCGTCTATGTACCCTAAACGCTCCTAAACCCCAATTCCTCAGTCCCGAAGCCTAAACCCTCTAAACCCTACACCCTAAATCCTAGACCCTGAACCCTAAACCCTAAACTCCTCAAACTGAAAGACCTAGGCTTTTGGGTCCGGTGTCCGGCTGGCAATGTGCTCGTATTGATTTTGGTGCCAGTACTTCGGCTGTGGGTTCAGGGTTTAGGGTTTAGGGGTTTATGGTTTAGGGTTTAGGGTTTGTATGTGTACTATATCGAAGATCATACTGACATTCACAGCAGTCGTTGCCGGCAAGACTGTTGCCGAATAGTTCCAGCTACAGTTGTTGTCGCCCAACCCTAAACCATCCTAAACCTCTCCTCAAAACTCTGAGCCTTACCTTAACCCCAAGTCTAGGACATTTTCAGGTGGGTAGTTACCGTTATAGGAGCCTCATAGAAGGTCTGTATGCGTTATGGAAGCCTTATAGAAGCCCTATATACCGTAAACTCCCCACCTGTAGTTTGCTTTAACCAAGCAACCTACTTTTGTAACGACGAATGCAAGCAGGAAATCATCATGAGGATCCTTGGGTCCATGCAAAGCTTCACCCCTAAACCCTAAACCCTAAACCCTAAACCCTAAACCCTAAACCGACTTGTGGGAACGGTTCAGGCCTGCATCAGCGAGTGGTTCCTCTCGGCGAGGCATTCGGTGTTGTTGTTTGGAGCTTTTGGCGGTCGGGGTTTCTGGATTCGGGTTTGGGATTTAATATGGGGGCCTTATTCATTCGAGTATGGTTTTGGGGTATATTATGTTCTAGTTATGTCTAATTATGATAAGGAGCCCCCTAACGAATACAACTAGCAATTATTAACTCTATAAGCTCTAAACCGTACACCCATATTGTTTGTTCTTTGGGGTCAAACGGTTCAACGTTGAGAAGGTTTCGGGCTCCCAGGGACTACGTAGGGCGCAATTTAGTCTGCGTGGGTCCTTGGGTTGGGGTTGGGGTTTAGGGTTTAGGGTTTATGGTTTAGGGCTCTTAGGGTTTGGGGTT